AGTATCAAAGTCCACAGAGGAGTACATTATAGAAATTGACGCACCAAATTGGTTTACTAGCTAGGCTCTGTATCAGAAATGGCCCTGTTCCTATAATACTGTCTCTATCCTACTCTTAACAGTTAGGTGAGTGGCTGCCAGTGGCACCCAGTGTTGTACTCTCCTCAGCGAGTGGTGGAGTTGAGGCAATATTGAATCCCATGAGAAGGGGACATGTGTATTGATACAGAAATTATTGGATGCTAGAGTCCTTAGGAAAACCATCTCTCAGTTCAACAACCCTTTTTGGCCAGTGAACAAGGTAAATGGGACTTAAAGATTGGCCACAGATTGTTGTTGTTATTGTTGTTGTTTGCCCTTCATTTTCCAAGAGGACCATGATATCAGGAAGATGATGCCATGACTTGCAAGGGAATTGGATTTAAGTGAGGGATGGCTGTGCAAGGTCACCAGCTTCACTTTCTCCTCCAGAGCCATCTGGATCCAGTGGCAAGATACAGATCAGGATGAATGGAGATGGCCCCCAGCCATAGATTACTAGGGTCTGAATAAAGAAGTTGACTCATTAGCTTTGAATGACACCATTCTAACACTATAACTCTTTCAGAGACTCCCTACAGGCTGGGCTTGTGGGTGACTTGACCAATGCATTCTTTTTGGCTCTCCATAAGACCGAGGACTAGAATCAGTTTGTTTTAACTACTGTGATGTATAAAATGGTTTGAGAGGCATAATTTTGGGTATTTAATCATTTTATTAATAATGCTAGAATATTATTAATAAAAGTGGTCAGTGTCATTCTCAAATGCCAAAGACAAATCATGGAACCCACTTGGAAATCAACTCTGATTGGTTAATAAGTAATAAGAGAGAATGAATATTATAATAAAGAGGTGGACCTATTCCATTGAGAGGCTGGGAGAGGTGACTGTGATCATGCCATTTACTTCCAATCCATCCCCCAGCCTTGGGCAATCTAATCAAAGAATTTATCCGCCCAAACCTAAGTAGTACACAATGGTCAGGAATTCACCTAGATAAGATGGTCTGGGTGGAGTAATTTTTAGTAGAGGTCAGTAATGTCCTTCAAAGGCTAGGCTTCAAACAAGGAAACAGGACAGGGGAAAAGCCTGGCTCTCCCCTATAATTGGTTACTGATAATCATTTCTCTCATTCGCTAGGCATAAATTATTCTTTAATGATTCTCCCACAGGAATATCTTAGCAACCCTACAATTTGCCACTAAAGGGACAAATTTAAGTTTCCTTCTGATTTAAGGGCAATCCATTATCAGGATAACATTATGTAGGTAGGTCCTAATGAGGAAGCAGTGACCATTGCCCTTTACAGGTTTATTATCCATTTATACCAAGATGGTTGGGCTACTAGCCCTGACAATATCCAGGGCCCAAGAACCAAAATTTCTGGGGACCCAATGTATAAGTTTACAACATGACATATTTCCCAAGGTCAGGGACAAGCTCCTGGCCCTTAAGCTCCTGACCAACAGAGAGAATGCACACCCACTTATTAGCTTTTTTAAATGCTGGAGACAGCATATCTCCCGCCTGGGGATAATTCTGAGACCCTCTGATACTGTGACACACAAATCTGTACGTTATAAATAGCCCACAACACAACAAGAAGCCTTAGAAACTGCTCAGAGGATAATTCAGTCCTTACTCCCAAGACCCCTGCTGGCAAATGATAATACCGAACTGTAGTATCCATTACCAACAGCGATGCAAATTGGGATTTACAGCAATAAGACATGGCTGGAGGATTCTGGACCTGAGCTTTGAGTTGCTCTTCACCAACAGATAGTGACAATGCCGGGACCTGAGGCCTCCAGTCCAGACCCTGTAACCCTGACTCCTCCAATGGCCCAGTGGGATCCAACCAATAAGGATCTGGTTCTTGAGCAACACAATTCTGCCTATTTAGCCAATGGTACCATCTGCTACAAAACAAGAATTTACAACTGGACTAGTCTGGTAATAGGAAACAGGGATACTGGCAATTCCTTATAACTGGAGGAGCTCCAGGCTTCACAGCTGACATGTAAGAGAGCCTTGAAAAATGCTGTAGAGAAGATCTTCATCTATACAAGTTCCTGGGCAGTGGCCATGGGCCTGGCCCAATGATCTAGGGCCTGGAGAGCACAAGATTGGATAATCAAAGGCTTTCCCTTTTGGAGTTTTGATCAATGAAAGAATTTTGCTGATGCCTCCAGTTACATAGCTTGTAGGCCATGTCAGCCCCCATCAGAAGTATATGCTAAAAAAAACAGATTGGAGATTTGTTACAAAATCAGCAGAGTTTGGGGAGTGGGTCTAGAGTCAGTTTGGATATTTGAGTGGCCAAATCATTCCGCACTGACCATAGGACCAGATGATCCCTGTCACTAGGAACAAGGCAACTATTCCTGACCCAAATAGCCCTCAACCTGTCCCCACTGGGCAAAACCGAACTCCCTCATCTCAGCTTGAGAGAGTTGCCCCTACTGATGAACAGTGGCATCATAATGCACCTGACTGCCCACGTCAGGCGTCCAATCTCCCAGAAGCTGTGTCTGTAACAGCTGATACTATCCTGGAAAGGAGCAGTGCTCCCTGCTCCAGTTTCTTGGATCCGGACTTCAAGAAGGCCAATCCGATAAGAATGAACTGGTTTTGGACATCGTTCTGGCTGATCCTTTCTGGCCTTTCCTCAGGTTAGTTTCTTGTTCTTTCAGAGGGCTCCATATACCCTGGATAAGTAGCTCAGGTCCTCCTCATGGCAGACACTTTCCATTAGGATAGTTCAAGAAATTCCTTCCCAGAAAATTTCTCTCTCTCTCCCTCCCCCCTCTCCATGTGATATATATATAAACTAACTTTTATGTTTTCAGATCTCTTACATGTCCTTTATCTCTATTTTATACCTTTTGGGGTTTTGCTCATTTTGCAGCTGGAAATCCTAGGGCAGTGAAAGCTCTTATCAGGATAAAGAAAAGAATGTAGATCTCAAGCTTGCTCAGTTGGACTTGAAGCAACAAATGATCCTTTCTCTTTTTCCCTTCCCGTGATCTGGTCTTTACTTACAGAAACATATAATTTATTAAAAGTAGAAGTAAGGCGCAGCTAGGTAGCACAGTGGATAGAGCACCGGCCCTGAAGTCAGAAGGACCTGAGTTCAAATCTGGCCTCAGACCAAACACCTGACACTTACTAGCTGTGTGACCCTGGGCAAGTCACTTAATCCCAATTACCCTAAAAAAGAGAGAGAAAGAGAAGAAAAGTAGAAGTAGGTAGATGCTTATGGATATCTAGGAGTGCAGTGGATAGAATGCTGGGCCTGGAGTCGGAAGACCCATCTGAGTTCAAACCTGGCCTCAGACAACTTACTAGCTGTGTGACTCTGAACAACTCACATTTCCCTGTTTGCCTCAGTTTCCTCATCCATTAAATGAGCTGCAGAAGGAAATGACAAACCACTCCAGGATTTCGCCAAGAAAACCTCAAATGGGGTCATGAAGAGTCAGACACAACTAAACCTACTTACCAACAGGTAGATACTGTCATATACACATATATATCTACATGTGTACAGTTATATGTGCACCTATATAGATATATGTATGTGTGGGTACACACACACACACACACACACACACACACACACTCCAGGTCACAGTGATCTTGATGAGGTGCTTGGGTGCTTGTACTGGGACCCCAATTCCATGACCACAATTCTCCCTAGCCTCAGAAACACTATCCCTGGCAGTTTCTCCCCAGCCCAAGGACACTGTGCCTAGCAATTACTCATGCATGGGTTGGAGCAATTTCTCTCCCTGGTGCAGTTCTAAACAGCACCTGAAGGAATTATTAGTTTGAACTGGCTTTGCACTGGGTCATAAAGACATTCTTACCCACTACTATACTATCCTACCGCCCTACCACATTATCTACATCCTGGGCTCCTCATTAACTGTATTCGAGACTTAAGACATATGTGTATACTCCCTACATCTATCCTGTCTAACAAGACATTAACTGGAGGCAGCCTGGACAACTCTCAGTTACCCCTGAACTCTAGTTAACTTAGTGAGGTAGCAGGCCTAAAGCCACACCTCCGTGTAGCTCCCCCTTGTGGGCTTTTCCTGGTGAAGTCTGGGTAAACCAGCTATACAGTAGATACAAAAAGTGCATGTTCCTTTAAGAACTGACCACTCCTTAACCACTCCCTAATCCCGCCCTGAATCACCTAGTTAGCATATTTGGCACATGTTTTATATTTTATCCTATATAAACTTTATCAGTACCCCTTCTAAGGTCACAGGTTCCTTAAGAATCCTTGCCTCCTGAAAAACATAACAATAAATATTTTGCCAACTTGATTCAAGGAATGCTTGAGTCTGTGAATTCATGCCACAGACTACCAGTCCTGTACTCTGGTCTTTGAGGAGGTCTCAACCTCTCAGACCGCAACAGTCCGCAACAGTCCCCTCGTGGTGGTAGACGCAGGATTAAGATTTACAGCTGGGCTCTAAGGAAGCCTTTAATTTAACTTTATGGGGCCGGGGCACACTCAGAAGCACACTACCAGGTCCTCTTCCCTGCTCATCCTTGACCTTTTCGGTGACCTTTTAAGTTATCCCACCACTAGCTACACTGTTTCTTTAGCATCAGTTCCACTCCAGCTAACTTCCACCAGCTCTTTCCTTCAACTCAGCTAAGGCCTGTTTAGGCCATTCTTCACAACTCAAGCCCCGGTCCTCCCCGGTCCTCCCCGCCACGCCCCTCCGAGCCGCTGCACAACCAGGTCAGACGCAGCGAGACCGAAGCCCGGGGCCAGGCAGCGCAGTTACGGGCGCTTCAGGACTGGCGAAGGGGCAAGCGGCGGGACCCACGCCCCGCGAGTCGTCCAGCCAATCCAGAGCCCCGAGGAACGAGGAGCGCGAGGCGGCGACGGCTCGCCCGCGGAGCTGCGCGTGCGCGGTGACGTCTGTGTTTCGTTAGGCCGCGTGGACTGAAAGCAGGCTTGGCCCGAGGCGGTGGGCGGAGACCAAGAGGGAGGCCCCGGAAGACGGACTGCTCGGTGGAGGTTCCGATGGCGGGCATGACGCTCGGAAGGGCTTGGCAGCAGATGTCTTGGTTCTATTACCAGTATCTGCTCGTCACCGCGCTCTACATGCTGGAACCCTGGGAGAGGACCGTCTTCAGTATCCTGCTCCATTGGCTGCGGGGGCGGGCGGTGAGGGCCTTGGAGGTGGGGGGGCGCGCGCAGATGAAAGCCAGATTCGCGGCGGGAAGGAGGCTGTGGGACCTGAAGGGGCCGGGCTCGCCGAATGGCGGAGAGAGTCGTCTGAGGTGGAGCTGTGGGGAGAAACCTAGGCTAGACAGCCAAGCGTCGGCCTGTAAGTGCGTGGAAGAGCGTGGAGGGCACCTGTGGAAGAGAGGGCCTGAAGCCGGGGGGCGGGGGGGGGCGGTGCTTGCGTCCTGGTGGCGGATACAGCTGAGCTTGGGGAGGGGAGGGGAGGAGAGGAGCGAGGATGACCTGTGAGAAAACGTCCAGGCAAGTGAAGGGAGCTGTGGAGAGCTTAGGTTCGTGTGGTCGGGGGGAAGGTATCCTGCTTTCCTGCTCTGTGTGTGTGTGAGTGTGAGAGGGGCAGAGATTTGTCTCTTGTAGTGCAACACCATTTAAGTCCGTTATATCAGCCTTTTTCCAAGTTTCAAAATATTTGGTCCAAGAGAAACAGTTTAGATTTATCTTTGTGATGGATAAGTTTTAAGTTCCAGATTTTATGTATATGGTTAGGAAAGGAATTCTTAGTTATATTTGGATTAGAATTAGCAACTAATAACAAGGCCTTACTGAAGTGGACAATTTTGTTGATTTTTCAAGAGGAAAGAATATTCCAGATGGTGGCGTTTATTTCCTTGACCATCCTTCATAATTATTTTGTATTTCCTATGTTAGTGGCAAATACATGGCATTCGTTTCTGTATACATTGGTGTTTTCAATATTGTTTTCTGGAGGGGGCTTAGTTTTTAAAAGGAACATATAAAAATGATAGAAAAGTATTGAAGTAATTTTATTACTACTGTATATAAAATATTTATCCTGGAAACCACCACAGCTCCCCTTGATTCAGTCTCCTGAGGCCTACTTTGCCTGTGTGGACCACACTGAACTGCACTTCTCTCCCAGCTCAGCTCAACAGACCTTTCCTGTGGACCATCCAGGTTGTCTTGGGCTGGAAGTTTGTTTTACTCTGTCTTTTTGTGGGTTCTGCTGCTCTAGAATTTGTTTAGAGTCATTTTGTACAAGTATTTGAAGGGGTTTGGGGGAAAGCTCAAGCAAGTCCCTGCTTTTACTCTGCCATCTTGGCTCTGCCTCTGGATAGCTGACTCCCACTCACATTCAGTTATGATTACGAACTATGCATTTCCCTCTATCCTATTTTCTTCTGTTTATCCTTCTCTCTCTCTTTTTATACTGTCCCTCCCAAAAGTTTGTTTTGCCTCTGACCACTGGCTCCTTAATCTATCCTCCCTTTCATCATTCCACCTCTTTCTCTTATCCCTTTCCCTTCCTATTGCCCTGTTGGGTAAGATAAATTTCTGTATCCAACTGAGTTTGTATTTAACATTCTTCCCACACTGAACCAGTTCCAATGAGAGTAATGTTCAAGCATTGCCCATCACCATTTCCCCCTTCACTCTAAACCTTTTCCTTGTGTGCCTCTTTGATGTGAGATAATTTTCTCCATTCTACCTTTCCCTTCCCCTTTCTCTTAATGCATCCCTCCTTTTTTTTTAATATCATCCCAACATAATTCACTCATACTTGTGCCCTCTTGTCTATGTAGTCTACATCTAAGTGCTGTCATAAGGATAAAAAGTTCTTAGGAATTACAGTATAATCTTCCCATAGAGGAATGTAAACACGTTATCTTATGTTTTCTCTTTTATGTTTTCCTTTTTATACTTCTCTTTAGTCTTGTATTTCAGTGTCATATTTTCTATTCACTTCTGGTCTTTTCATTAGGAATGCTTCAAAATCCTCTATTTCATTAAATGCCTTTTTTTTTCCACTGAAGAATTATACTCAGTTTTTCTGAGTAGGTTATTCTTGGTTGTAATCCTAGTTCCTATGCCTCCTAGAATATCATATTCCAAGCCCTCCACTCCTTTAATGTGGAAGTTGCTAAATTTTGCATGATTCTGACTGTTGCACCACAATATTTGAATTGTTTCTTTCTAGATACTTGGACTATTTTCTCCTTAACTTGGGAGTGCTAGAGTTTGACTGTATTATTCTTGGGAGTTTTCATTTTGGGATCTCATTTAAGAGGTGGTTGGTGGATTCTTTCCATTTCTGTTTTATCCTCTGGATCTAAGATATTGGTGTAATTTTTCTTGATAACTTCCTGAAAAAATGATGTCTGGGCTCTTTTATTTTTTTTGTCATGGTCTTCAGATCAATCATTCTTAAATTATCTCTCCTTGGTACATTTTCCAGGTCAGTTGTTTTTTTGTTGAGATAGTTCACTTTTGCTTGTGTTTTTTGCATTCTTTTGACTTTGTTTTATTGTTTCTTGATATCTTATGTAATCATTAACTTCCAGTTCACCAATTCTTATTTTTAAGGAATTATTTTCTTTAGTGAACTTCTGTGCCTTTTTTTCCACTTGGCCAGTTCTGTTCTTTAAAGTGTTATTTTCTTCAGTATTTTTTGTGCCTCTTTTACCAAGGTATTAATTCTCTTTTCATCATTTTCTCACATTACTCACCTCTTCCAGGAATTCTTGGTGGGCCTATGTCCAAATTCACTTTTTTTTTTCACCTTTAGAGATTTAGTTGTAGTTATGTTCACATTGTTGTCATCTTCTGAGTTTGTGTCTTGGTCTTTCCTGCCACCATCGTAGCTTTTTATGGTCAAGTTCTTTTTTGTTTGTTTGGTTTTTGTTGATTTTTCTAGCCCATTTCTTAACTTTGAACTTTATGTTAAAGTTGAGCTCTGCTCACCTAGGTGTGGGAATGCATTGTCCCAAGCTTCAGGCTTTTTCATGCTGCTATTTTCAGAGTTAGCTCTAGGGAGCTGCAAGTTTGCGATACTTCCAAGGTGGTGTGTTTTGGGGAGAAGTGTAATCACTGGTCTCCTCGTCAGTGCTCTGGGGGTTCCTGCTCATCTTGTGCAGTTGACAGCACCAGTGCTCTTGTTCTGCTTGGCTTTGGAGCTGTGAGTAGGGCCCCTGTTCCCTTGCAGCCACACAAGTCCTAGCATTTCTCTTGTTCCTGCTCTCAAGCCATCATCTTATATCTTTATTCCCTTTCTCGGCCAAATTCGTAGAAAAAGATCCCTACACTCAGGCTCTGTTTCTTCTCTGCTCAGCTACTCCTCAACTGCTTGCATTCTAGCTTCAGACCATCAACTGAAACAACTCTTTCCAAAGATAGTTTCTTAATTTCCGAAGCAGATTCTCTTTTCTCTGTGTCCATCCTTCTCAGTTTTTCTGCTGCATTTGACTTTAACATCCCTTTCTTTCTGGATTCTCTGACCTCTGTAGATTTTTGAGATACTGTTCTCTCCTATTTTTCATTCTGTTTAACCATTACTTCTCTATTTCCTTTGCTTATTGGCTCATCATCAAGACCCGTAACTGTGGCTGTCCCCTGAAAATCTGTCCTAGCTCTCTTTGTCTACCAGGGGATCTTAACCTGTTGTCCATGAACTTGTTTATTTGTTGTTAGAACTATTTAAGTAAAATTGTTTTTCTTTGTGATCTTATGGAAAAGGGTCCACAGGTTTCAGCCAGCTTTGAAAGGAGTCCATGATCCAAAAAAAGGTTTAAAAATAAAACTCTACTTATATACTTTCTCTTGGTGACCTCCTGATCTCTTACACACTTAATTTCACTGTTAGTGTGTGTGTGTGTGTGTGTGTGTGTGTGTGTGTGTGTGTATACATGTGCATGCATGCACACATGGATAAATAGTTGCCTTTGTTTTCCTCCTAAGTTTCAATCCCACATCACCAGTTAGTAACCTGTTGGACATTTCAAACTGGATTTCCTGGAGAGATCTCAAACTCAGCATGTCCAGAATGGAACCTGTTTTCTTTCTTCAAAACCCTCCCCTCTTCTACATTTTCCTGTTTCTGTTGAAGTCTCCCAGGTTCAAGATCCCCTTTTAACTCTTGATTTTAATACATACTAGCTATATGACTTAAATTGCTTACAGATGAGTTGCCAAGCTCCATTCCTGGAGGGAGTTTTTATACTTAAAGACTTTCTGCCTACTGTACATGTTCCTTCCCAGTAGTATACAGTTCTTCAAGAACTGTTTTGTAGTAAATTACTCTTATTTAAATAAAATTTGTGGTCATGGCCCCAAGTTTTGCAATCTGTCACTAGAAGTCACCATGCTATCATACTATCTCCAGTCTGGAAAGGGAGTATAAATTATTTGTGTAATATGTGTATAGTTTTACAAGAAATGAAGATAGGACAAAGGAGTTTTTATAATAGGAAAAAAAAATCACTTTTTGAAAATGTATATCCCGGCCTTTCTGTAATGACTGCAAAATGTATTGCTGGCTCTTCGTCATGACCTGTAACCGTTGTACAAGTCTGTCCTAGGCCCTCTTCATGCATTTCATAAAGCATATGAGAATTTAAGTAGTTGAATAAAGCTTCCTAATAAACTTTTTCTTTAAGTTTCCAGGATATATGTTCTAATTTAATTCTTTCCCTTGAGAGTATGTTCACAATCATATGAGCTACAAAAATATTTCATAAAACCTATAAGTTCTCATATTTGTTAGTGATATATTGCTGACATGCCCTCCCATGCATGGGGCCTGGGTGGTTGATATTTAGCATTGCCTGGTAGAAGTCATGTTGCCTTTACATAGAAAGGAACTGGGACAGATAGTATAAATGAACAGATAGAAATCAGTGACATTGGGGTTAGCAGCAGTCTTGAAGCTGAGATGGGTTGTTCTTAGAAATAACTCCTGACTTCTCTCTCTCCTTCCATTTTCATTTGATAACCTATTAAGATTAATGGTGGTGAGGCTTTGCCCTTAGTAGAGACTCTTGTCTCCACTCTCACAGGGCAAGGTGCTTGGCTCATAGGACTGTGTGAATCAGGGACCTCCGTCCCCACTGTTAGGCATCAGTGTAACTCTAGTGGAAGCATCCCATTCAGGTCTGGGACCAGGGAGGAGAAATTATCTTTGTGTTTACTTGTGAGGGGATAGAAGTTCCTTGTGGGGACATTTGTCTTTCTCTGTATGGGTAACAAAAGGAAACTGGGAGCTGGCTTCAAGTAGTTACCTTATGGTATTAGCTGATGAGCATCCCAGATTAGACCTTTTATCTGGGAAGAGAGTGAGTGAGAAGCAGTCAAAAGAACATTGGCTTGTTCTAGGGTGTTTGGTTTTTTGATTTTTTTTTTAAACCTTTTTTATGTCATGGGTCCATTTGGCAGACTGGTAAAGCCTGTGGGCTCCCTCTTAGAGTAATGTTTTTATGAAGGAAATCAGCTGTATTGAAAGCAGTTATCAGGTGGTGGCTTTTTTTGTTTGTTTGTTTTTAAGACCTTGAATAAGTCATTCAGCCTCCTTGCAAACCTGTAAATTGAGAGGTTTGAACTAGATAGCCTCTGGAGTCTCTTCCAATTACAGACTCATTTATATGATCCTTAGATTATGGCCCTTAGGTACCCCCTGTTTCCTCCTTATTATAGCACCCAGGAAAGAAATAATTTACATAATTTTGTCAGCAGTATTTGTGTATTGCGTGTGACTTAACTAATTTTCTTGGGGGCAGGTTTGGGGAATAAGTATAAAATGCATACTTATTGGTTAGGTCAGATGAGGATGGGTTTTACTCGATGGTTTTTACTTACTCATATTCTCCTTAAAGTTTGCCACAGAGGGGCCACCCATTTTGTTGAAGGCCCCTCTTTGCTTTCTCCTGATATCATGAAGCTGTCATTCTGGCTGACCATTTGCCATCCCCTTATTATTGCCCGACACATCTTCTCTTTCTGGCTTCCTATTTATTGATAATATCCTTTACTCTTGTTCTTCTTGGGAGATTTAGTTGGTTATATTTGGCAGTCTGCTCACATTCACTTTATGGTTCTCCATGGCCCTCAGTGAGATGTCCATCTTTAGTTCTTTGCAGGCAGTGGTATTTCAGATTTTGCTGCCATGCAGCAGTACTTGTGAAACATATTGAAAAGATGAGAATTGAAGTAACGTAGCATAAACTGAAGATGTGTTTATTGTCTAAATTACTATCATAATTTTACTTTAAGTTACATGCTGTATTGGTTTTTGATGCTTTGCCACTTGTGATTACTTCAGTATGAAACACTGCAGTTTAGAAAGAAGGCTTTCCTCATTTAAAAATTTTTGAGTTTACTCTTCTAGATTCTACATTTTTGTATTTTAAATTATCTTTGTTAAAATTCTCCATTGTACTAAGAGAAACAACCTAATAGTTTTCCTTAATTACAACTCCAGATTCCATGTTGATTTCCATTGTTGGAATGGCATTATACACTGGATACATCTTCATGCCTCAACATATCTTGGCAATATTACACTACTTTGAAATTGTACAATGAACACAATGTGCTCAAGAAGCAACGGACCAGAGATCCATGGAAGGGAAGAAGCAACCTCTCTTGGTGAAATGAGACTTCAGCAAATTCCAGACATATGTTATGAATATAAAGACTAAATTTGGTTTAGTAGGATGAGGAAGCAATCCCAACTCATATGTTGTATTCATTATTCAAGTATTCCTTTATACAATAGTTTTGTCTATTTTGACATTGTGGTGGTTTGTACTCAAAATATCAGTATTTTCTTAACCTTTGGAACTGTTTCACTGTTGTTCTGTGAAAACTTTTCTTAATGTAACATTGAGTAAATTTTGATTGCCTTCTATTTTTTTAATCTGAGATCATTAGTTAGGCCTCTTGCTTCAGAAGTTGTCTGGACAAAAATCTACCTGGATATATTTATAGTTTTCACCAAAGTTTTGTAGAAATAATAATAGCAAGATAAAGAGGGAATATTTCAATTGAGCATAAGAGACTTCTTTGTAAGTTTATACTCAGGAGTAGTTCCAGCTGTGTAGACTGCTCATTATAAAACATTTATTTTGCTTTAGTGTTATTAAAAAAAAACAAAGTATTTCTCCCCTTAATAATGAAAGAGCAAAGAAGATCCTTCTACAGTTTGAATAAAGGAATACCTAACTTTTTAATAGTTAGCCCTATTTTATGGATTTCTCATTGATAAAAAAAAGTTCTACAGTAAAATGCTTGGAGAAGTAATTAACTTACTTGGGGCATTATTATGGAATGCTGATCAAATGGTAGTTTTATTAAGTAAGTAGGAAAAGATTTTCCTAAAGCATATCACTAACATTGTAGTCTTATAAAATTAACTTTGAAGATTGTAGCTGGTGCATAATTAGTAAAACTACAACCCAGGGAGCTTTACAAACTTGTTAATATACCATTTCACACTTTGTGATGTATGTATATTATTATGTGTGTTGTAAAAATTTTCATTTCCGAAATAGAATTTTTCTGTGGTGAAGGCTGATTATCAGAATTGAAAATGAACTGATAGGAAAACTTCTTTGTTTGAGATTTATGCCATTCTTGATTTTAATCTCATGCTGTGTATTTTTTTCCATTCTAAATTTATTGCTACTAAAGATTAATAATTTTTAACTGATTGGTTTTCATTTTCTTCCCATATTATAGAATTGTTAAACTTTAAGAACTGATTCAATCAGCAGGTATTTATTAAGCAACTTTTATGTGTCAAGCACAAAGCTACGTGCAAAGACAAAAAGAAAGACAATTTCATATACAAATAAAGGTTAAATAATTTTTCCAAGGTCATACAACCAAGTTCAAGCTAGTGTTCTTTCTCCTTTGTTGATAGTTCACGCAGTATTTGGGGTACACTTAAAATTGTGTAGAAAAAATAACAAGATGAAGAGGGAATATTCCAAATGAACTTTTTTCTGACTCTTTTTGTGCTGCTTGCTCATGATCCTGGCCAATTACTTGAGTTTTAAACTCCTTGTTAAGGTAAGAGTCTGCTTCCAGTGTGGAGAATGTACTGTCCGAAGCTTCAGGGTTTTGTGCAGCTGTTTTCAGAGATACTTGTAGGGACCTGTAAATTTTCAGTTCTTCCAAGGTGCTATGATAAGGGGTGAGGTGTTTACTCCTTTCCTGGCCTGTGACCACAAGTACTCCTTTCTGTCCTGTAACTGTGAGGAGGGGTTTCTCTCCACAGCCACTACAAGCTCCACCACGCCAGTGCTCCTCCTCATCCCAGCACTGCTGCCCAGAACTGTGACCCAGATCCACACACGGGCAAAGCAAGAGATTCCTGCCTCAGCACTGGCAGAGATCCCTGCAGTCCCTCTCTGATCAACCATTGGATTCCCCCTCAGTCTGTGGGCCGGAAGCTCGGGAAGCAGCTTCCCCCCCTCACCCCCCACACGCTCTTGGGGAATGGAGCTGAGACCCCGCCTTCCTCTCTGACCACTGACAGAAACAGACTTTTCCCACTGACCTTCTAAGTTGTCTTTGGCATTGGTGGATTGAGGAGTCTGGAAACCTCCACAGCTGCCCGCGATTCAGTCCTCTAAGGCCTGCTCCAGGTTTGCTGCAGCCTGCGCCCACGCTGCATTCCCAGCCTGGCACGACACACCTTTCTGATCAATCAACCAGGTTGTCTTGGGCTGGAAATTTGTTTCACTCTGCCTTTTTGTGGGTTCTGCTGCTTCAGAATTTGTTTACAGCCATTTTTTATGAGTATTTGGAGGGGTTTGGGGGAGAGGTCAAGCAAGTCACTCCTTTCACTCCACCATCTTGGCTCCGCCCTCCAGTTGAACTTTTTTCTAAGTTGATACCCAGGAATAGTTTTAGCTGTCTAGACCCTGCTCATTATGAAATTTTTATTGAATCATAGAATGTAAAGCCGGAAGAGACCTTACTTAGAGATAGACTACTTAATTCCCTCATTGTACGGTTGAAACTGAGGCCTAGAGTAGTTAAGTGACTTGCCAGAGGTCACAAAAGCATTTCTAATCCCAATTTTGAGGTAGACCAGGAAAACTGAATTACAATAAGAAAAACAGAAGGAAGCAATCTATAAGCATGATAATGGTAAGCCAGTCAGAGCCTAGGTGTCTTCATCCTTAAAATGACTAATTAGAATAGTAATGCTTTTACCTACCTCAGAGTTAAAGACCTTTGTAAACCTTAAAGTGTTTAAGAATATGGACTGGAGTCTGTTATTTAGAACACAGTTGATTTAGAAGAGACCCTCTAAAACAGTTCCACAAATAGATTTAAGGGGATCCACAAACTTGGATGGGAAAAAAGAATTTATTTCCACTAGCCCCTAGCTGAAATTTGACATTTCCTTTGATTATGAATAGAAAAAACTAAACTTATTCTAAGAAGGGTTTGCTAGGCTGTCCAGGGGGTCCATGACACAAATAGTTTATAGTTCATTCTTTATTAGAGAGGCATCCTGACCTGACAGAATGAGAGCTGGGGTCTGCATCAAGAAGAATGGGCTCACTTTCTGCCTCTGACATGCTGGCTCTGTCCAGTTAAGTGACACTGGACAAGGTACCTCTCGTTGCCCCAGCAACTCTTCTAAGACTTTGAACAGAGAAGGTACATGCACATCAGCAACTCATGTGAATCATGAGTCACTTGGGGCACTGAGAAATTAGGTGACTTGCTTGTCTTGGCAGGTATTTCTTGCTCCAAGACTGCTACTCTATCCACCGTCCAACACTGCCTCTTGCTTGCTTAAATGTTGCTTGCTTTAGTGGACTTGTATTGACATACGTGTATGTATTAATATTGTATGCCAACAATGCCAGGTGTTGCACTAAACATATTTTTGAAATACAGCTATATCTACTTGCAAAAAGCATCTACATGCTTTTTAAAAATTATCTTATTGTAATAGGACAAGCCCACAGTGCATTTAACTTCCACCTCTCTGCATGCTCAGCATTAAGCAGTAATATTTAATCTGAAGTTTGTTACTTTTCCTTTTAGTACCATGTTCAGAACCATCCTTACTATAATCTGGTACTTGTAGCCTGCTGTAAATATCATTAAGCTTTTTGGAGTAAGGAAGGGGAACTACATACAAAATATTGGCCCCCATTCTGTTTCACCATTATTTTGAATCTTGGTATCACTTTCTTCATGTCTCTTTGCTTAATTTAATTAGCAATTTGAAGAAGGGGCTTCCAGTAGTACATAGAGGTCCTACCTTGAGGTCAGGAAGGCCTGGATTAAATCCCCTCTGTGACACATAACTGCCTATAAATCTGTGTGACCACCGGAAATTACTTAGCCTCTAAGTGCCTCAACCAACTTTCTGGGAGTAAATTACACTCTAGTTATAGGTCTGGAAATGGAGTTAATTTTGTGCTTTTACTAAGCACCAAATTTTATGAGTCAAAATAATAGAGTGAGTTCAAGCAAATTTTCAAAATAATTTTCAAAAACGTTTTAAGTGCTTACTATTTCAGGCATAGTATCAGTGATACAAGTTCAAGAGAAGCAAATTTTCAAGGAACATACCTTCTAATGGGGAAAACAGCACAAATGGGATGTGGAAGAGAGGGAATTGTGTTGTAAACATGGTGGCAAGGTGTGGAGATTGCCAAAAAGTGGCATGGAAGCCTGATCAGGGCAAGAACTCATTACAGCTGAGCCCTAGTTCATTCCAAGGGTCAAGTCCAAAGCTCCTGTGAGGAGGAAATGAGGATGATGACTAGAGTCTGGGGCTGTTCCAGTAAGACAGTAGGAAATTTCAAATAGCTACTGGCTCATTTCCTACTGCCTGCAAACATGCCTATGCCTTCCCTATCCTGAAAAAAATAATCACTTGATTCTTCCATTCCTGCTGTCTCTCATCCTGTATCTCTTCCCTTTTTAACTAAACTCAGTGCCTCCGTTTTCTCTCCTCTCACTTCTTACAGTCTGGCTTCCAGCATTATCATTCCACCAGATCTACTGTAATGATTTCTCAGTTGTGAAATGCAGTGGTCTTTTCTCAGTCGTCATTTTCCTTGACCTTATTATAGCCTTTGACCCTCTCTCCACCTTGATATTCTGTTTTCTCTTGAGTTTTCAGGACACCACTCTCTCTTACGTATTTGGCCATTCCTTCTCTGTCTTCTTTGCAGGATCTTCCTCCAGATCACATCCTCTAATCATAGGTGTCCCTCAGACTTTTGTCCTGGGCCTCCTTCTATTCTGCTTCACTTGGTGATCTCATCACCTCCCATGGATTTAATTATCCTCTCCATGCTTATGATTCATAAATCTGCCTTTCTTGTGCCAATCTCTCTACTGCCCTTCAATCTTGCATCTCCTCTAACAGCCTCTCAGACATCTCAAACCGGATGTCCAGAAGACATCTTAAACTCAGTATGTCCAAAGTAGAACTCATTTTCTTTCCTCCTCCTTTTCCTCTTTCTCCTTTTACTTGCTCCTTATTTCCCTATTGCTATAGAAGGCAACACCATTCCTCCCAGTCCCTCAGACTTGGAGTCATCCTTGATTCCTCACTTTCTTTCAGATATCCAACCTGTTGCAAAGGCATAATAATTTCACCTTTGCAACATCTCCTCTGTATGCCCCCTCCTGTCCTCTGACAATGCAGACCCTCATTACCTCATGCCTGGATTATTGTATTATAGCCTGCTGGTGAATCTGCCTGCCTAAAATGATCCCCCTAAAACGCAGGTCTAAACATGTTGCTGCCCTACTCAGCAAACTCCATTGTCTCTCTATTGCCTCCACAACCCACTCCTCTCCTACCTTTCTAGTGCTTTTATTCCCCAACATGTATTTTTCAGTCCAATAACACTGGCCACCTGTGTGTTCAAGCCACAAGAGAGTCTGTCTCTGGGCTCTGGGCATTTTCTCCAACTGTCCCCCTTGCTGGGAATATTCGATCTCTTCCCCTCTATCTGCTGACTTTTCTGGCTTCCTTTAAGTACCAACTAAAGTCCATCTTCTACAGGAAGCCTTCCCTAACCTCTCTTAATTCTGGTGCTTTCCCTCTTTAACTATCTTCTATTTATCCTTAAGAGCTTGCTCTGTATATATATTTTATGTTGTCTCCCCCATTAGATTATAAGCTCCTTTATGAGCCGGAATTGTCTTTTGCCTTTTTTTTGTATCCCCAACACTTAGCACAGTGCCTCAAAAACAGTAGGTGCTTAATCAATGTTTTTTGATTAATCGATAGTTCTGATTTGTGAAGAAGTGACACAGCATGACATGAGGCAATGTCTAAAAGGGTGGAAGAAAAGGTAGAGAGAGAGTACAAGCCAAATAACTGATGTGGTAGAAACAAATTCATCAGAAAAGTGCAGCTTGGGTTACTAGAAATTTGTCATTACAAAAATTGAGCACTCACATATTGACATAGTAATGTGTACTTCATAAGTAAACGAGAAATAATTCATGTTTGTGCAGTTCTGCAAGTGTTTATTGAAAACCTAGTGAAAGCAAGGTATTGTACGAGGCTCTAGGAATACGAAAAATAGTGATAATGACAATAGCTAGCATATAGTGCTTTACATATGTTATCTCGTTGGATCCTCCCAATAATCCTGTAAGATAACTGCTACTTAACATGTTCATTTTACAGATGAGGTAACTGAGATAAAAAGTGGTTAAGTGACTTGTACAGGTCACAACAGAATTGGAACAAGTCTTGGCTTCAACTACATCGTGCTATCCACTGAGCCACCTAATAAAACAGCACCTGTCCTTATGGAGATTGTTTGGATTTTCATAGACATTTTTCTGGAGTTGATGAGGGCAAAATATCCCTTTTTTACATGCA